GTTCACGAGTCCAGTGTTGGCTCCTCAGTATGAGATAGATACTGATCTACTGGAGCAAGTTCAGTGAGGCTCACTATGATGGTCAGATGGGGTAGAGCACATGCTATATGAGGAAAGGAACTGGATTTTTTTCACCTTAGATAAGAAAGAAAAACCTTATCAGGGCCATTCCAACTTAAATTATTACTCTGAGATTCTCTCAAGCTCACTATTTATATTTCCTTTTTTTGATTATTACAAAGGAAAACAATATAATAATAATATTGTATATTATAATATTACCATATAGTATTAATATTTATTTTATATATTTGTTGCTTATTATAATAAATAGTGTCTTTACATAGATACACTATATATATATATGTATAACATATTTATTTAAATATATATATATCTTTAGTTATATATATATAGAAAACCTTCCATTCCAGGAAGATCTTTCCTCCTTTTGTGAACAGAAGGTGATTTTATTCCCTTGGAAAACATGAAATTGAGTCGAATTGCAGGTGCTGGTGGGATGCCAATGGGCTCTTCCTGCAGCACTAGATCTGAAGTTGGGGGCATCTTTGCACCCTACAAGAGAGAAGGGTTCCAGCTTCCCTATGTACTTCTCCCAGACAGGCTGAGCACTGGTGTCACTGGGTGTTTCTTTAGCTGCAGCTCTGCCTGGCTGTATCCTAAAAAAAGGATGAGTACCTGATCTACAGTAAATCCAAGTCTGCACCTGGATTAGGTTTCAGGGGATTTGGCTGGAGTAAATCTTTATTTAAAAGTTCAATGCCTGTTTCTCCTTTAAATTTGAATAGCGTAAATCTGAAGTAGCTACATCTCCCCAAGTAAAATATTTTTATTCAGTTTCCTTTTTACTTTCTTCCTTTTTAAGATGAAAAATAATTGAATCCGGAATGTTTCAATCTGAACTCTACAAATATTGCTTTGGTCTCTAAGTCAATGAACTTTGTGACAACATTCCTTGTAAAGGTTAAAGCCTTTCCAGACAAGTGATTAACAACTATGATAAGCCCTTCCATGAGACATGAGTTTTGCAGCCTGTTGTGTGGTATCCCTGTCTAAGTCTGTAATTGTCTAAATATAAAGAGATAAAAGGGAAAGGGATTGCCAAACTGCACTGTATAAGGTAAAGCGAGTCAGAGGGAAAAGGTTTATAATTTTTCTTCTTCCTTTTACGTTGCTGGCTTGTTCTTATCTTCAGCCAGAAGATGCTAACATCATTTCCTCTCTATAAATTGGCTTGCACATGATACAAAAACACAACACGAACTTTATTTTCTAGCTTAGTAGAAGTTCTGATGCTTCACTGTTTGGATATTCAAGAATCCTGATTTAATCTCAGAACTGTTAAAGAATTATTTTACCAAGCCAGTGAGTATGCATATTGTCTCAGTGAGCATTCCTTTTTAACTAAGCAGTAATATTTAAATGGAATTTGGATTTAATTAGAACAACCAATGTTTCCAAAGTGATAGTAACAGGACTTTTTTTGATCTAGCACATCTACTTCTTTTGTTGCCTTTCTAGTCCTGTTTGAAGTAGAAGTGTGATTGGTCCATGGGTTTTGACAAAACTGTGACTATTGAAGCAGATTCAGAAAGCAGTTGTTCCCCTCTTCAATAGTAAATGAGTACCAGGAAAAAATCCCACAAACAGTCTTACAAGTTTTCATTAAGTTTTTAACAGCGGTTCAGATTATTTGTGATTCACCTGCTTGTGAATGAAATATGGAATGTGTTTCTATTGCTCCCATTGCTGTGCCACCTGGGTAAATCATGTGAAATGAAATTACAGTGACTGGCAAAAAGTCCCATGACTTCACAAAAGGAAGCAAGAAAATCAGTGAACAGCTGCTGTCTTTTCCTGTATAGCAATCCTCCAATTTTGAGATTGTTATTTTATTTGCAATCTAGCTATATAATTAATTGAAAAGTTATGTCGTGCAAACACATTTTAGAACTCACACAGGAAGCTGTGAGGATCTTTGGCAGTCAAATACTCACAAATGGGAACTTAGACCCACAGGTGGTCGCAAAGGGAACATTTAACAGATTGGACAGCATATGGGAGGCCACATTAAAAAAATTCCCTGTGCTTCAAATTGGTCCTGCTGCCAGGTATCCCTGAACAAACCTTTCAGAGACTGCTTGGTGCCAGAGTGGATAACTAGAGCTGGTTTTAGTGTGAGTATGTCAGGCTCTGGGCTGTTTTTGTGTCTGGGTGTGACAGGCTATCAGATGTCTCAGAGGGGTTTTGGCTGGCTGAAGACTTCAGTTTCCTGGGGCAGTGCAGCTGCTCAATGACTGCCTGCTCCTGTCAAGAAGCACTGTTAATGCAGTTTAGAAAAGCACTGCAGGATGAGCCTAAAGACTGTGTGGGTCATGGGTAGCTAGGTAAATCCTCAGCATAGGCATTGTGCAGCTTAGTCTAGGACTGCAGTGTTTTGCTTTTCCCCTTGCCCAAAGTGTCCAGAGCAGCAGACAGGCTTAAAAGTGCCCACAGGAGTCCCAAATGCCATTTTCTGTTAAGCAGGAAACAGCATTGTTTTAAATGCAGGTTTTCTCAAAGCTAGTGTTTGTGGTGGTGCAAGAAGAAAGCAGCCATGGTATGCACCTTCAGTGGAAAGCACATCCACTTCCAGGGCTGATTAACTCTTTTGTGAGGAGCTGGATAAGCTCTGAAAATTTGCAGATTGACAATCTGAACTTAGAGTGTCCTTCTAGGACCTAAATAGCTTTCCAAATCGCTCCTTTCCTCCAGGACTGCTTCTGAGTGGCATTTATTCCTTACAAACCATCTGCTAGCTTGTGAAGCACAGGAAGCTGATACCTGCAGATAGCACCTGCAGTCAGCCAGCTTGAGCCTTGGTCTGGTGCAAGTACAGTGGGCTGCCCTGAGGCTGCTCAGGGTTTGCAGCGTGGCAGGTGCAGAGGGACCAGCTCCTCATTGCAGCAGCTGCCATGGCCTGCAGGCAACAATCTGAGCAAAGGTACTGCCAAAGGTTCTTCTTCCTGGAAAAAGATTTGCAAAAATAGACTTAAGCCTGGTGTGTCCCCCACTGATTGCTGTCAAATGGGCACTTATGGGAACTTTGCCATGAAGGACTTCTGTGAGAATTCATCCCATTGGCACCACATGGTCAAGGCTTGAGGCTTTAAGAACCATCAAAAGTAATATCTAAGCTTTCCTTTCTAAGGAAAAAACCCTAATCAGATTGGTAGATAGTATGTAAATAGGAAGTACCTTAATGCTAGAATAGTTTATAGTAATCTGGTATAACTCCTATTTACAAAGTAACTTTACAAAAAAAGTGGTGACTTTTTGGAAATTCTTTCAGTATGCTTATTAAACAATTGAACCTGATTCCTAAGAGAAATGTCACTGCAGACCAGCAACACCATGGTATTGGCCTGACAGGCAAATACATGGATGTACAGTGCAAATGTGGGGAAGTGATTTGTTGTGTTATCAGGTTTCAATTTCCTTTAATTTGACTACCCCATGTATCTTTGAAGTATCACTGCAGCAGTACAACTGCAAATTAGACTAACCAAGGGTCTTAAGGGACCTGGTCAGTTTTGTCACTGGGATTTCCTGGCTGTCAGCCCTAAAATTCAACAATTTGACAACACATAAAGCCTGAAAAAAGCCTAGATTCAACAGCAGAATATTTTGCATTGCTAGTAGTGCCATTGGGGGCATTAAGCTCAATTCTACATGAGTGGGTAAACCCCAAGAAACTAGGCAATTAGCTGGGATCACTGTTGATACTGAACTGTGTTAACAGCAGCAAGCTGCATTTTAGCTCATTACCTTCAAGTGAGCTCCAGTACATCTCCATGAGTGGCTGTGTGAGCACAGCAGCTTGAGTCTATGCCTGTTGCACTTGCAGTCTTTTTTAGAATATAGACACAGTCACTGTCTTGTTACCATGTGTACATCTATGATATTATTAATATTTTTTTTTTTTTGCTTCTTAGGATTTGTGTTAAGAGGACTTGAAAAAAAAATTGGAAATGGGAATTAGTCAATATTGACAGAAACTGTATAGTAATCCATTATTGAGATTGAAAGAGTAGCAAATTGAACCAGTACCAATTCCCGCAGTAAAAGCCTTCTCAGTATGCAGAGCCCTGCCTATTAAAAAATTCTCCCCTCAAGTAAAGAGTTGTTTTTTCATGTACCTGATCATGCCAAGTAATCATACTTGATTATCCCTAAAAATTCTTATTTAGCTCTTTTAGTCAAGTGATCCTCTCTGGAAATGGGAGCTCTGAGGTGAAATTGATAGAGTTTGACTACTGAATTCTAGTAGATCCATTTTACCAAAGACGAGTCTTTGATGAACACTCCCTCCTAAGGATGTTTAAAAACCTGAGTTAGAAAACTTGCAGGCAGAATGCTCAGTTCCAGTAAATCACACATTTTGTCACAGGGTGGGATAGTTGGAGATTAAACACACTTCCTCCTAAGTTGTGTTTATTAGTGAAGATCAATCTGTTTAATAATTTAGGGATTAAACAGTAGCATTATAAGAAGAGAAGAAAGCATAAGGAGGAAATCATCCCATCATCCAGCATTTTGACAGGATTAAAGTCTCAGAGAAGAAGGAGGAAATAAATGTGTTGAAAAATAAAGAAATATATGCTTTGTTAGCTCAATAAGTTCTGTATCTATCAAGCTTTGGGCAGCAATGTTGGGGATATGCAGAGGTAGGATGTTCACCCTTTTGTTACTTGTGGCAGTATTAATACTTCACTTGCATTCATTATCTGCTGGGGATTCCCTAGGAGAGCACTGTCCAGTGAATGAAATTCTCAGCCAGCTGTTTATCTTCCATTTTCAGTGCTGTCACAGTTTAATCTCTTCTGTTTGTGTGTTACTACCAGATGTGGACCGCTGGGCTTGCCTCTTGCCCAGTGTCATTTCCCACAGCTGGGAATGCTGTGGTTTGGAGAATGACAAGTCACACTCTTTTCTTCCAGTTTCGCCTGGTGGTAAAGACAGCACTGAAGCTGCTGCTGGTGTTTGTGGAGTACACAGAGTCCAACGCACCACTTTTGATCCAGGCAGTATCCACTGTGGATGAAAAGAGAGGTGAGTAGCCTTACCAGGGGGTTGCAACATCCCAGCACCGCTGAGGTCAAGGTAGCATTTCATCACTGCTTTCAGTGGTCCTAGAGTTGCTGTCATTGATGCCTGCTTGTCCAACATACCTTTTATTTCTTAAAAGCATGTTTTAAGTATTCATATAATTTAAGGTTATTTTAAGAATTAATTATAATGGGAAAGTGAAGAGTGAAAGCTGAAGAGCTCCTTTACCTCCTCGGGTGCCAGAGTCATTGCCCTTTCCCTGCATCCACATGCTAAGTAAACCCCCCCTCCCCAATATCTTCCGACTCAGAGGCTCCTTTGGGCAAGACCATCTTTCCACTTCCTTCTGGGAAGCAGCAGTCTGATTTAGAAGAGAAAATGATATCTAATCAGTGTAATCCCTTTGAAGAGAAAGACGAGGTCAGTAATAGTACAGGCTTTATAGTAAAAGCAAAACCATCTGTTGTTACATTAAAATAAAGCCCTTGAGCAGATATTATACTATGAAATCTGTTGCCCTTCAGGCTCATGAAAAATACTTGAATATGTATACTGTATTTTTTACAAATAAATAGAACAAAAATGGTTCTTTCTTCTTCTTCCCACAAAGCCATCACTAAGCTCCTGGGGCATTCTCTCTTGATGCAAAACATTCCTTTGCCTCAAGGAGAGTTTTTGAGGTTAGGAGATCCATTGTTGTGGTCTCAAACATGGAGGTTGAAAGCGAGCTTCCCTCTGTGGAGCAGCTGCCTCCATACTCAACTTGTCTGAGAGACTTGATATGGTAAAAGTGAAACAAGAAAATGTTGGGGGCTGAGGAGAAAGGTGGTGCCAGAAATAGAAAAAAGGAGCCAGATTTTGCTTTCAGTTATCAGAATGGGTTGAAAAGAAAAAACCCAAATTATCTCTAATAGCAAGGAAGCAGGCAGGGGCAATTCAAAACACCAAATTCTGCAGATTGGCTTTCTGTTTTAAATTAAAAGCAGTAAACCTTACAATGCCATAAGCATAAATATGATTATAATATTCATGTACCTGTGAGCACTGTGACTCCCTCTTTTTATTCTTAATATTTCATCAGCTTTCTGAGCTCACTGGCATTCTCAATGAATTCAAAATGCCTTATATCTACTAACATGTTGGTAAGGTCATTATTAAAGAAAAAGGAGAAACAGAGTATTCCCTTCTCTGTCTGTAAAGCAGTCTTAGGCAATCATTTAAATGCCCCAATGTAATAAAACAAGTAACAACACAAGACTTGAAAAAACTGATGGATATAGCTAGATGAGGATATGTTAAGAGCATAATGAGAGGTTTTACAGGAATTCTCATACCTATGCTTTAGTAGATTATTTTATGAACTCTTGCAAATACCTTAACCCAAATACCTAGTTTTTCCTTCTTCCTATTTTTTTAAATTATTTTCATTAAGCAGTTGTACTTAGCGCCTTAAGAGATTCTTTTTCTGGTTTTATATTTAGTTCCCTTTTTAGGTCATCAATATAATAGAGTCACAGAGTCATTTCAGTTGGAAAAGACTTTTAAGACCATTGAGTTAAACCATTAACACAGCACTACCAAGTTCATCACTAAACCATGTCCCTCAGTGCTACATCTGCATGTCTTTTAAATACCTCTGGAGATGGTGACTCCACCACTTCCCTGGGCAGCCTGTTCCAGAACCTGACAACCCTTTTGGTGAAAAAAATTCTTCCTAATATCCAACCTAAACCTCCCTTGATGCAACCTGGGGTAATTTCCTCTCATCCTGTCATTTGTTAACCAGGAAAACCCCCACCTGGCTACAGCTTCCTTTCAGGAACTGTAGAAAGAAGTAAGGTTCCCCTGAGCCTCCTTTTCTCCATGCTAAAGAACCCCAGCTCCTTCAGTCACTCCTCATAAGGCTTGTGCTTCAGACCCTTCACCATCTTAATTGCCTTTCTCTGGACACTCTCCAGCACCTCAATGTCTTTCTTGCAGTGAGGGGCTCAAAACTGAACACAGGATTCAAGATGAGGCCTCACCAGTGCTAAGTACAAAGAGACAATAACTTCCCTGGTGCTGCTGTCCACACTATTCCTGATACAGGCTACATGCTGGCTCATGTTCAGCTACTGTTGACCAGCACTCCCAGGTCCTTTTCTGACAGGCTGCTTTCCAGCTGCTCTGCCCCAGCACTGCACGTGGCTGTACACCCATGTACCAGGACCTTGCTGATTGTCATACAACTGGCTTTGTCCCATTGATCCTCCCTGTCCAGATTCCTCTGAAGAGATTTGTTGCCCTTCAGCAGATCAACACCCCCATCTAACTTGGTGTCACCTGCAAACTGACTGAGGGCCCTCAGTCCCCTCATACAGGTCATTGATAGCAATATTAAACAGGAGTGGCCCCAACATTGAGCCCTGGGGCACCCTAAGAGTGATCATCTGCCTGCTGAACTGAACTCCAGGCACTACCACTCTCTAGGCCAACCATCCAGTCAGTTTTCTACCCAGTGAACAGTGCACCAACTCAAGCCATGAGCAGCCAGTTTCTCCAGAAGAATCCTGTGGGATACAGTGTCAAAGCCCTTCAATTTTAGATGTGCATATGCTATGTTTTAATTTATAATTTTAAATTAGTGGCCTATAAATGAGAAGTACCTGCTTTTAATGACTGATGAAACAAAGCAGAAAAAGAGAAAAAAGCAATATGCCTTTTCTTGAGCCATTGTCATAAATCTTGCAGGTATGTAATTAAGTTCAGCACTGCTTTGATAAAAGTTCGATGTTTCATGTACATACAAGGTGATGAGATATGACATAATTCTTCAACATGTGTAGCACACATTATTAACTTCTAGAACCCCATATTAACTCAGCCTGGTTTCAAAATGATCCCAGCTGTGGTTTCTATGTGTGAATACATCCATATGCAAACTGGAGTGCAGAGATCCATGGAAGTACTGGCTTTACTCTGAGGTACAAGCAGACCATTCATGAGTAACTGCATGGCCCTCGTCATGTAGGAATTAGCTTCTCCTTGCACTTCCATTTAGCTCCTCCCTTCTCCCATGCTTTTTGTTTCAGAACTCTAGAGGAATTTGGTCTCTTTTCAGTTTAAGCATACGATTGCAAAGGCTCTGGGAAGTGGAGCTGGCATTGTACTCTGCTGTCTAGGGCTTCTTTATCACAATCATATTTTAGGATAGAGATTAGAGCCAAATGGCCCTCATTATCTGTTCTTAGCTTTTCCTGCAATTTCATTCATAGTTATATTCTGCTAAATTAACTCACACACTGTAGGTATGATGGAAAGATATAAGTTCATTCAAATATAAATAGGCAGAAGTACAAGATGTCAAGGTCTTTACAAAAGTATCTCTACCTTTCCAGACTATAGCTGCTGGAGACAGACACTCTCTAAGCTGATGGCAGTTCTCATGCAAGGTTCTGCCCTTGTGCAAGATATTTCATGCTTTATACAAACTGTGCAGCTGTTTTGTAGTTCTAGTGTCAAGGTTTTGTGTATGACATGAACAAAAACATTCAAATAAATATGTAAAAGCATTCAAAGAGGAAACTGAGAAAAGACTGAGACTTAAAACAATAGGCAATGTCATTCTGAAAGTATACTGAATTAATTTAATATTTGCTTAATTGTTGCAGCCTCATTGTTCTTTGTCTATACACCATTCATGGTTACTCATAACACTGCAAGTACCATCAGAGTTGAAACTGCAGCCTACCTGTCAGAATAGCTGTGACAAAGAGCTCTTCCAAGTGACAAGCCCCTGAAGGGCAGTCAAGCAGTTCTCATTTTACCCATTAGGAGGCAGGAAAACACACAAAACTCAGTCTCTGGTGCTTCACTTCACTGAGCCTGTTTTATCACTCCCACTGATTTAGCAACAAAATCTTACCCATCTGCTCCCAGAAAAATCACTGGATTCTATATCATCAATCTTCTAGATCATCATTTTTCTACATCAGGATCTGGTGAAGGAAGACATTCACCTGTTCCCTAACTAGAATCAAGAGGAGGCAGTACTATCAATGACTTTGGCAGACCTACTCCAATATGTACAAGATGAAACCTTTATTTTCAAATCCAGTTTTCCTCATTATGATCTTAATCTGAACAGGTCTCTTTTCACTTTAAGCATGCTGGACTGCACAGGCTCTGGAAGGGGGAGCTCTGAAAGGGGGAGCTGAGCTGGATCTGTGTATGTCCCATGCTGTATGGATCATAGGTTGGAAACTACAGATTCTCATTATATATGTGGAAGAATATTAACCCAAGGACAGCAAGGCAGTAAGCTCATGGTGCAACTTCCACAGGAGAACTGCCTTATCCTGGGTGGGTAGTAGATGGCCTCACAGCTATTTCCACGTTCACTTCTTGGCTGTTCAGATTGAGATCAAAATAGAGGAAATAACATTTGAAAGAAAGGTTTAACCTGGTACAAACTGGAATAGCTCTGTCAAAGTTATTGATAGTACTGCCTCCTCTTGACTGTAGTTAGGGAATAGATGAAGAATTTGGAATTTAAGCCTAGATTTTGGAAGTTTAGTAGCAGAAGCATAAAGAAAGCCTTTGAAAGATAGACGAGCTGTTACAGGGCTGCGTTACTAGCAGGTGTGTCCAATCGACAATATTTTTTAAAAATTATATTCTGAAATAAAATAGCAGCATTGCTAGAAGAATATTATATATCATCCTTGCAGGAAAACAGCAAGGTGACCATGAAATTATTATTTTATGATAATGAAGAATTATTGAGAGATTCAGGGAACAAATAAAAACAAACACATGGATGCTGCTCAAAAAATAAACCAGGATTGTTCGAATAAGAGTAGAACCTGCCTGCAATAACAAAGGACTCTCATTGAATAATTCAGTAGATTAAATAATTATGTTTTTATGTTGTTATCAACTCACTGTTTTTCCAAATGGCATTATTATGAGTGAGACTTGCATGGTCTCCCCATTTTGTTTCTCTTTCCTATTTCCTTCCATTTTTCATTTTTTTTTCACTGAAAACCACAGGAAAACATTTTTGTAGTGAGAATATCATTCCTGCTGATCATATATCATTTGCAAGCTGAGTGAATTTGTTCCACATGACTTTTGAACATATACTGCACAAAATGTCTGGAAATATAGAGAATCTGGTAAAGAGGTGTCTAGTGTATTTTCATTACAGACATGTATTTGAATTAGTATTTAATTAGGAATGCATATAGATACATCTGGAGATCTGAGAGTGAATCCCCTTCCTCCTTTGATTTTGCTTAAGATAAAAAAGTCCTGACCATGTAGTAAAGATCAGAGACTGTCGAGGGGGAAGAAAAAAAAGGAGAAATATTGCTGTCTGCACATTCACTTTTAGACAGGTTTTTCTACACAGTGCATTGCCATTGCCTTGAAAATGCAGATCCTTGGTTAGCAGAGATTTTATGTCTGTATAGCAGGGTACCTATCTGATACCATCTGTAATAAGCAAGGGCTGTTACAGGGTAATACAGAGTTTAGACCTTGGGGTGACTGATCAGTCAGCGACAGGTGGCTGTGATGGCATGTTTGCATTTTTCTGCCTGATTATACTCAAACTCTCATCATCTATATAGTGTTCAGGGGATGTGGGCTGTTGGAATACTCTGCATGTTTCCCTCTGAAACTGAAAGACTATCACAGTTATGCTGTGTAGTTGAATTGAGTGTAACTCGGGGCTAAGGTTAGCTCTCTGCTTTTGGTGACTGGATTTATAAGTCCTCCTCACCTTTAACTTTATTCTAAACAAACACTGGATTGCAGTCTTTCATTATTTATTTCAGTTTTCCTAGATAAAATTTGGTACATACAGCCATCTTGCTATTCAGTCAAGTGAGATAGGACAGTTTTACAAGCTACCTTCCACACAAGAGGGTGAGTCTGGGTAGTATGTTGCTTGCCTGATGTTTTTAGCACAATAACTCACTAAACTGTTTGGGTTTAGGTATCAGAGAAATATGTACATTCAAATCAACATGCAAATCAAGCAAGTAACTAAAAGCACAAATTTGGACCTTTCTTAGTGAAAAATGAGAGAATCATATCTGAAAGTTCTGTAGGTGGGTTTCCTATTAAAGTATTTTGGGAACGAGCCACAGCAAAATTCTTTTCCCTCATTGATCGTTTCTTTTGTCCAAGACATATAGCCTGTAATTTGAGAAAACTGTTTCTCTGCCACAATGTTTTGTTAACCTGCCTTACCTTAATGCAGCACAACTCAGCAATAGCACTAGAAATAGGAGCAGCAGGCACACTGAAAGCACAGCACGTAGGTCTCTCCTGAAGATTTATCAAAGCCTGTGTGAACCTATGATAGGCTGGGTAAAATTCCTGTCACCTGATTTTCAGAATTTTGGTGTCAGTCACTCTGTGATAACAAAGTACAGTGTGCTGTGCTCCCTTTATCATCAAGGGAGAGAAGTTGGTGCCTTTGTAGAGAGTCCACCTGCCATATTTTATATCCCTGCAATAGGCTGGACTGTAGTTTTCACTGTCTATGTTAAATTTACTCTCAGGGGAGCAGGAGAGACTGTAGACAAAGCTGGTCTGCTTGAGCTTTCACCTGGCCACATATTCCAATTTGTGCCACTTTGTGGATAACTAGAAGCTTTTTATGTAGCTTCCCATTTTGATCACCATAACCAAAGTTTCTGCTTTTCCTCTAGGAGCCAAGCCATGGTCCAACATCATGGAGATTCTGGAGGAGAAGGATGGGGTTGATACGGAACTACTGGTTTATGCAATGACCTTGGTTAACAAGGTTTGTTTACTTTGTTGGCATGACTGGTGCAGATAATATTGGTGTTCTCAATTGTGTAATGAACTTCCCTGTTGAGAGTATGTGATGGAAGAGACCTGTCACAGAGAAGCTGCAGGACAAGCTGTGATCAATCAGCACACTCCTGTTACTTGTGCTGCAGCCACCCAGAGGCAGCAGCCAGGAGCAGAGGTGTTATTCTGGGGGATGTTGTGTGGAATTGTGGTCTGACACGGCTCCTCTCCCAGTGCTGACAACGCTGTGCTAAAGGAAAACACGACAAAGTAACTCAGCAGATTATCCAAGGGGAGAAGGAAAGCAAGTGCTGGTGAAAAAATCACATGCTCACAAAGGCTTGTATCATGCACAGTTTTCTAGTTCATATAGTTTATTTTTTTTTTTTTTGCTGTGATATAAATATGATGAATTTAACAGGTCTGAGTGCTAGTAAGGGTGCTTCTGCTTAAAAAAGTAAGGTTACATTTTTTTTCTGATTTCCTTATATTTTTTGGTGACTGGATTTATGAGTTATAGTTTTGCAGTAAAGTCAAATATTTTATGAAATATTGGCTTATGCTATTGGGAGGGAGAAAATAGAAAGTTCTTGAAAGTTAGAAATTTATAATTGTAAATTCCTTAAAAATCAGCATCTAGTCACAGACAAATTGTAGGGGGAAGGAGTACTAAAATTAATGATTAATTGTTTTAGGAGCACAGAAAGCCAGCATACTCTTGGCAAACAAAATAATTGTGTGGTTTATGGTTATACTTAATAGGGCAGAGTATTAGGAAATATTATTATTACTTATTGTATTCACTTGAAAATGCTGATTTTGTTTGTGGGGGTTATACACCACGTTGCCAGTTTATTGGGCTCTTGGCTACATTATTGGAATTGTGGGTTGCTTTTTTGTTGGATTTTTGTTAGTTTTTGTTTGTTTTTTTTAATAAAATGATTTCTTAATGGCAGATATTTTCCAGCAAATATGTCTGAGAAGGACCAACCTTTCCTGGTGATATTACTGATCTTAGTGTACTTATGCTTAGAGTCACCTTTGCTCCTGATTCCACAGCAGTAAGGTTCCTCTTGAGTTTAAAAGACCACCTCACCTTACTGCTGTACTCTTTCTGAAAAGCATCACCAGTTATACATGCTTCTGTCTGTATCTGCTATTAAAGCCAAGGTGATCCATCATTAATGTCTCTGCTTTCCACCTTGCTTTGTGTACTGATTCCTCATTCTGAGATAGTTCTCTTCATCATTTGCACAGTTGTAACCTACTTGGTGTTTGACTTCTCAAAGGTTTTCCCTGCTGATGCTTTTATTATCCTATAGTTGATTCCATTAGTCTGAGTTTTTCAGTACATTTAAAGCTATTTTTAGGAGGAAGTAGTTCTTTAAAAACATCCAAAAAGAAAAAGCATGTCACAGTCAAAGAAGCAAGGCAGTTATGAAGATCAAGGAAGAGAGGAATCCCACAAATCCACACTTATAATTATGATCTGGCTTATGGGCAGCTTTATGATGTTTTTAATGGGATATTTTTCATGATTATAGAGAAAACAGCAAGCAGCATGTAACAGCTGTAATTTTTTTTACCCCAAAGAGAATACAAAGAAGGCTCAGATGGTTTCAGCTTCTCTAGACAAGGAAATGTCAAAATTTTCAGTGCGGGCAGAGTCCTCATGAAGGATTTGTCTTAAGGAAGCATGTCTGTACTCTTTTTTCTTTCTCCATGTATCCATTTACAGACTGTGTTCCTTCCTGCTCCAAAGCAGAAAACATATCTGCCCAGACATAAGGATTGCTCTAGTCCTTTTATCTTCTCCCTCTCTTTTGTTGATGCTTAACCAATTTAGTTATGCCAATATTTTATTAACCCTCTCTTAATTTGTGAGGATTTAGGTATTAATGAATTTCTTAGATGAGAGTGATCCCAGTGCAGATACTTCTGGTTATGCATAGTTCCAGTATAACCTTTGTTATTTTTCTTGGAGTAGTTAGAAATTGAATTTGATATGCTTTAGGCTCTGAAAGTGAATCTGTGAGTGCAACGACAAACCATGCAAAGGAAAAATATTATATTGTCCAGTTCTGGTCAACAACATGCAGTGAAAATTGGATTTACACTGCTGTGTGATTTAAAATGATAATAACCAATAAAAGGCTGCTGACAGCAGCAGTTGCCAGTAAATACTATCTTATGCTGCTGTTTTTCCAGTCTACAGCTTGCCTTACCTTGGATTTTAAAAAAGCTGTACTTGAAGGTGGGTGATCTGCATATCAACATGAAGATAATTTCCTGTTATTTTAGGAAGTAAATGCTCAGAAGATCTGACTGTTCCTCCACTGTTTTGCAGATAAACATCACATCCTACTGTGCATGAAGGCATTTTGGTCAGAATAGTTGCTGTCCATGTCTTGCATTTGCAACTGAAAGCCTCATAGTTGAACACTTTTCTGTGATAATAGTTCCATGTCCAAGTTAAAGTTCCACTGAATGTGCAGTATGAGAACTTCATTTGCTGAATCCTCAAATTTTTACTCAATGCTAGGTGTCAGTTTAGGAAGGAACAAAATAAATGTGGTACCTGTTTTCAGCACTATTCAGGATGTTTTAGTTTCATAGTCTTCAGTGGGTTCTAAACAAAATGCTGTCCTCGAAAGAGAGAAATTTCTAATTAAAGCCTGAACATATAACCTTAACACTTAATTGATCTTTGTGCTAAGAATTCCTGTTGTGGTGGATTTCACCAGTTAATAATCCTGTAATGACTGAAGAAAATGTTGCTGTGTTGTGTTTAATTAGAAAAAAAAATGTACTTTGTTGGTGCACATATTTCAGTGGCTTACAGCACAGGAAAGAGGTGCTTTAACAAGACAGCTATGTCAGCTGCCCATTTCTCTCATTAGTCATGTAATCCGGATCCATTTTTCTGAATGTAAAGGTTCTTGGTGTAGGGAGGCAGCCTAGAGGGGCTCCTGTTTTCTGCACTCTGCTGCTCAGAGCCACCTTGGAAAAGATGGGCTCCAGAAAAACATCATTCACAAAGCACAGTTCATCCCAGGCATGAGAGGATGTAACCCTCCTTGGAGAGAGCCTGGGTTTTGCATCTCTTTGCCTTGCTCTTTCTCTCCTCTGCTGGGAATTTAGATAAATTACTTAGCTAATTGAATGGGAGAGAGGAAACTACTTCAGAGTAAACCTCTCTGATGAGCGAATCCAGAAAATCTGTGTTGCTTCCAGCCTGCACTCTCAGGTATTTTGCAGCAGCAGCTCTGCATAGACTGGTTCCTATGGCGAGGGATGTCCTTGCCCTGCAGGTAGGTGGCACGGTGTGTTCAGGTGTTTCTGCTCAACATGTGCAGGATTAAACTAGTCTTTCTGCATCATGTATAAAGAGCAGTAAAAAATCAGCACAAACTGACTAGGAATCAGTAGCAAGCTGGAATAGGAATTAAGAAGTCAGTGTACCTTTAATAAGACTTTTTAATTTGAAAGGGAGCAGAGGAGTCACTATCTCTGTACAAACCAATTTGTGCTCAGGGAAGATGACTGTTGCTGCAGGTGTGGAGGACAGTAAGCACATGGTGCAGGATATTTCCTGCTATTCTGACATCACATGGCTGTGCATTGGGCTTTTTCTTCTTAAGGCTAAACCTAAAAGAATCAGTAGGAAATGAGCTTTACTCTTTTAGCTAAGCATTTTGGGGTTTTTTTCTCCCTCTTTGCTTTTATCCCTGTGTTTGATGGTTTAACATTCTCTGTTCTTTAAGTCTGCACTTGAATGCAGCCAGAAAGAATCCATCTGTGTGTTTTAAAGACCTACATTTTCCATACTTTTTTGTATAAAATAACAACATTGATTTGTTTTGCCAATTTTTCGTTTTTCTGCACAGTGCAGAGAGTTGTTTGTTAAAAGCTGTGTCACTTGTTTTTTATTTTCTATCGGTGTCTCTAATCCCACATCATGGGTTTTACTTTATTGAAATCATACATAGCACCACTTGCCACCCACTTTTAAAATCCTTTGTTTAATTCTTTTCAAAACAAACAGATTTAAATGTTTTTCCTTTGATTCTTAGACGCTGTCAGGATTGCCAGATCAAGACTCTTTCTACGATGTGGTGGACTGTCTGGAAGAGCTAGGCATCGAAGCTATTTCACAGAGACACTTGAACAAGAAAGGAACAGACTTGGACTTAGTTGAGCAATTTAACATTTATGAGGTAACATAACATGCCCTGTTTTATGCATCTTACAGCTTGTGCAAACTTCAAAGCTGAGAGGAGGGGGGAATGTAACCTAGGTGAAATTTGGTTATCTCTCCTATTTTAAAAGAAAAACATCTGGTTGCTGTAAGTATTGTACACATTTGTATATGTAACCTGCTATGGCAAATAGCTGCCTTTAATGCAAAGGCATTTTGTATTCAAGCTGGGGCATAGTCCAAGGCAAACCAGCACATTTACTAGCCTCCTTTCTGCAACTGCTAGTTGCACATGCTGAAGCAAATAGAAGTTGTTCCCATGTGCTAAAGTGTTCAGCTCATCAAAAAGGCTCGGCTGAGCTCAACTTCACAAGTACTACTTGTTCTGCAACTGAATATCCAGCAAGTCCATGTTTAAGAGTTTACACTGGACCAGATCCTATGCAGTTTGCAGTAATGAGTGACTCCACATTTACCACCTAGGTATAAAATAACTTCTTCTGAAGCATTTATATGTAGGGGTAGGAAATCCAGTTTCTTAATAATAAGCCTTTTTTTCAGATTTTGGGAAGTGTTGGAGGTAGGAGGTTTAGGCTGAAGTTGTAATGTAAATGTGAATTAGTGTTCTCATATGACAAAGTTAAATTACTTCATCGCTGCCTAAGTCCAGCGAAGGATTTAACAGATTTGATTCTCCATTTTCTCCATCATTTCTACTCCCATGCCACTTCACTTACTAGCAGAGTTAAGTTTTATACACAGCAATTTCTAGGAAGAGCAAGAGAAGGAGAGGGCTCAGTAATGTTCTTTCTTTTTCTATCATCGGAGGCATCATCTTATAGCAGCCTTTTTAAAGTGTAGTGATTAATCTTAAAAGGATGGATTGGTTTTTTGTGTGTGCTGCACCTACTGAAAGACTTACTTGCAGAATTGGCAGTTGACTTAGTTGGTGCCAGCTTTTTCTTTATGACCAAATTAAATTTAAACATGTCTTTGCAGGTTCTTCCTTTTATCTGCCAATCCTGTTTCTTACCTGAAAAATCTGTTTTTCCTCACAGAAACAGAGTTTACACCCCTAGCAGAGATATCTCACTTCCCCCTTTTTTTAAAAAAAACCAACTTCTGGTAAGAATTACCAGAGTAACAAGACTAATAGGAACAAGAAGATAGGCATTCTTCTGATGGCACACATCACCCTTTCTGTACCTCTGCCCATATGAGTGGATCTTTCTCTTACAATGATTATTTCAATGTTAGGCTGCATTTCAGATGAGAGTCATTAGATACTACGTTGTTTCTGCCAGGAATCTCTCTCCTTGTTTTTATTAGAGGTAGTTCACATTGGCACATCTGGGGCATGCAGCAGTTTGAGATATTTGGCATTGCACCCATGCTTTAGTCCTCTGCTAATTCCAGCACACTCTAGATAGTAACTTCCACTTAATCACTACAAGTGTCATGTCTGAACATGAGAAGTGTTGAATCAGTCAATGCATGGAGTTTTTTCCTGTTAACTTCACTAAAACCAAGTCTTCATCTAAGTATTTTGGAAGGATATAAAGAGAACTAGTTGTCCAAGACTGCTCAGCTTCCTTGAAAATTCGGTCCCACATTAAAGAGAAGACAAACAGATTAGGAGGCACATAAATATGTTGTTACAGGTCCTGTAATGTTGTATGCAAGACATCAGTATATAATTCCATTGTTAGAGCTGCCACACTGCAGTAATGGCCAGACAGTGACTTTCAGGGATAGCTGTAGAAACAGTGCTGCTAATTGGAGTTAATCATGTTGAGACCAGGAAATTTTTAAGCCTAGGTGAAGACCTGTGGTAGCTGAAGGGACCATGTCAGCCTTCTTCCTCTCTTTCTCAGGTGACACTGAGGCATGAAGACGGAGATGAGGGTGCTGAGCCCCCACCCAGCGGGCGCAAGGATCGGAGGAGGGCCAGCCTCGGTGCCGGCGAGCGCAGGGGGCTGGAGCGCCGGCGGAGCCGCAGGCACTCGGCACACAACAACGTCAAGAGCACTTTATCAGCCCCTGCCAGCCCCTGCGGGCAGTCCAGCTTCGTGCTGAGCCACGGACAGCGTGTGGAAGAGCTCAGTGAGAGGTAAGGGCAGGAGCTGAGGGATATTCCTTTCTTCTCCCGTCGCTTTCTGCTCTTTGCATTTTATTAAGATGATAGGCTTTTCTTTATCGTCCTCTTTTCATTGAAATAAAAATGAAAAAAACAAAAGCATATTCGGAGTTAAAACACCAGCACAAAAAAGAAAGGGATTTGTGGGTGACTTACCTACATTGCTAACTTCTTTGGAACCATCCATCCTAAGAAGACCCAAACCACACAACATAGAGCATTTGGTATGAGAACTAACTCAGCCTAATTTCATCCATTGACAGATTTTATATTCACTATGTTCACATAACAGAAGATTGTAACAAGAGCATGGTAACGTTAATTCAGAGCTATTTGTCCTGTGTATGTTACAGTTCATTCTTATTTTTCTTCCTCCTTTTCATTCCAGCATAAATATTTGCCTTTGAGGCTACAGCAGAGTAGTGAATATATCTAATGTTTTATAATTAGCAAAAGAGAGGCAGTAATGGCTAGCTGAGCAGCAGTCTGCAGCAGTGGAGTCAGTTCAAGATGGTGTCTTTGCCAGTCCTATGATGGTTGGCTTGGGCTGTGTGTGCTTAGGAAAAGAGGGAGCTGCAGATCCTCAGCGTGTCTGACTGCTGCACAGGAGGGCTGGAAGTAATTCACCACAGTTACATGTCTGATCAGCCCTCCTCCCTTTGATGTCAGTGGAGTGCAGCAAGCACTGGTGGGCCTTCAGTTATCTAATGTGTTCTACATGCCTGAAATTTCAACTAAGATGAATCAAGCTCTGAGACTGGCTGTTGATTCTACAGGGAATCTGGCTGACTAGCTCAGGTGGTGATACATAAAAGCTGCAGGCAGCAAAAGCTGGACACTGTCATCTCACTGCTGAAGATGCAGTTTGAAAAACTGAAGCATGGTCTGTACAAGAGCATATCTTGTATTAATTATAACTTTTGGGAAGTTCATTGAAGGTCTCTCTTGATTAGCAGGGGATGTAAACTTAGAGCCTTAAAATCCTATGTTGCATGTCAAGCAGTCCTTCTTGCAAAGAGACCTGGGTTGGCTAAAGTTTAATGGGTTCTGGCAATATGAAAATGTAAGACTCCAGATAACTGAAATAGTAGTTGAATTAAATTGTTGTATACCACATACAGATAACCTTATTTTCTTTTTTTTTTAATTTTATTTTGGCATTTAACAACACATTAACACTTGTTTTCCATCACCTTCCATGGCCTGGTCTTTAGTGGGCTGCCAGCCGAGAGCCCCATGCTCTTACAGGCTGATAACAAGGATGACAGTGCATTTGAGGATGAGTTTAAAGCATCTTCAGAGTGAGTACAGCTGGGAGCTTCAGCTGCTCTGCATGGGATGCCTTGTGCATGACCTTGGGCCCTGCTTCAGGACTTAACAATATGACTGGGAATCTGTAACCATGAATGTAAAGCAGATATTTATGGCTATATGATTTATATGATTTTTTTTTTTGTTAAACTGATGAATTTGAATTGGAAATGAGGAGATGCTTCTACTCTGCAGAAGGGAATTGTTCATTCTCTTACTGTAAATTAAACTAATAGAAACCATCCAGGACAGCAACTTCTACCAACATGTTTTCTCACTATTATTGTGTGTGCTTGCTAGCCTTATTTTGCAGGCTTCAATAACTTCTGATAAATTTGTGTTTGAGCTAATTTTTAGTGGGAATAGAATAGAGGGAATAAAACCACAACAAATCAGTTTCAGAAGCTCTTTGAAATATTTTTTACCCAACATAACATAATTTCAATAATCATGTTACTTTTTTGAAAAAAAGTAATTATACAGTTCTGCTCCACACGCTTTATGACAGTGACATATTTTAAAGCATAATTTAAGTTTAAATACAAGAAAGAAATCTTTCTCTAAGCAGTGAATTTTAATTTTGTGTTGCAGTTATCTTCTGTAAGACAATAATTAAATTCTCTTCAATTCCATTTGGAATGTCCAACTTGCTCAGCTGGCTCTGTAAGGAAACAGGCATGCAATTATGAATGTGTGTAATTCTGATCTTTACTTTGCATATTAGTTAAATAAAAATACTGCCTCAGCCCCCACCCCCATTATCCAGTCCTCTTAGCAAGTAAAGGCAGGGAATTATTTGTAGCTAGCAAATCAGATTTTTTTCCCATGGGACATTACAGACTACAAAGTATGTTCAGGATTTGAGGATGCAAGTTCTATGCTCAGTGAAATTGTTTAAGTTACCATAAAAAGAAGTTAGTCAACTGTTGGATCTTCTGTAATTCTCATTTTTCTGGTAAAGTGTTTCTGGTAAACAAGCTTTTCAGATAAGCAGATTCTGTCCTTCACATTTTTAGATTCATTATCTGCCCAAATCTGTAGTTGTGGTAGGAAGAGGAAAAACAGCCTTCCTGCTTTATCTTATTCCAGTAACTCTCAACTTCCAGTGAAATAGTCCAGATGTGTGCAACAGTATCTCTACACCTGATAGCTAAATTGAGACAAAAAAAAGAAAAAAGGAAAAGCCTAAAAGCCTTATGGCTTCTCCTCATTAATGTTTAGGCAGAAAACTAGTGAAGTTGAATGTGTCCTTTAAGGTTTTTACACATTTATAGAATTTGAATTAGACTTAAATGGAAAAAGGTTTTCTGTAATCAGATTTTCAAATTTGAGCATATGGTCTTCAATGCAAGATATTTTTGGGTTTAAAGGACTTGAATAGATTGATCTTGTGGCAGTTTGCATTTAAATTTTAAAATCCTATCTTAGAATATGATGCAGGCATCACTTCATTTTGTCAAAAGAAACACTCATTATGACCCTGTTGCTTCCATTGTTAATGTTGTAGAGAGGAATCTATACAAATGGATAAAATTACTTACTACCTCTGTAAATTGATAGTAACTTCTGTTCAGCCATGAAAGAACTGTCTCCTACTAAGGACCTTTTAGTTCATAACCCTGGTTCCTCTGGAGAAAGGAAAAAAATTTGGCAGTAAGTTTTTGCAGTGCTCTATTTCCCAAAAAAATAGATACAAAATGGATTTCAGTCTTTATTCCTTCACTACATTTTCTTTCCCAGTAGGACTTGTAACAGTACTAATGATAATCTTACTGTGTTGCTCCTGCTGAAAGCTCTAAACTTTGTGTGTGGCTGCAGATGTCTTATGTCTGGTTTTACAGTAGATTAGACCCAGTGGAATTGCTTCTGATGAGCATGGTTAGAGATTGAAGTCGCACTCATACACTGTACTAAATTTTATTTTGGGAAATATTCTAGGTTATTTTTGGACTTCTGTACCAAAATCAGGAGAAGTTCTTTCCCATCATTCTCCTTCCCACATTATTCATGTTTCTTTTCTTTCAAGCTCATCAGCTGTTTTGGCAATGGCTTTGCTTTTGTTTACCACATCAAACAGGTTGTGCACAGTCATCTGCTTTGTGTCAACCGATAAGTCTTCCAAAAAGAGAGAAATTCGTGGTGCCGGTAAAACAACAAAAAAAAGACAATATTGGCCAAATTCTGTTCTGTCTCACAATGCTCTATATCCAGAAAAGTTGTCTGAAGTCAATGGAGTTGGTCTGATCTATGCCAGGCTAATTGAGAGCAGACTTTGGGTTTTGAGCTGGGAAAAGTTGACAGTAAATGCTAAGGGCGACCAAAAGGAAAACTTGCAGGCCTTTTTCATCCACTTGGCAGCCTTTTTCCAAACTAAATGTATTGTTTTTTCGCCTGTGGTTCAAAACAAATAAGGATCCAAATCTGCTTTGTGTTAAAATAGTTTTCATGGAGAGCAAAGCTCAGCCTGATGTGCCTGTTACTAAATAAGTAAGTAAAGAAGTTGATAACAGCTACTAACTAAGGCTGAAGGTTGATTTAAAGGTCTGTACCTACTGCAGCATACTTCAATATCCCTGTCCTGACCAGCAGCAGGTCTGCTTTGCTAAAACTTCTTTCTCTTACCATGATAGCATAGAGCACCATTAAGCCTGGTGGGAACTTTGGTCCTGTTTAGCATGATGTTTTAATGCTGTGCCAGAGGCACCTCCTAAGGTTTTCTGCCCTGGCCCAAACTGAGTGCTCTCAGTCTGTGGTCTAGCATGCTGCTTCTTATGCAGTAGACTTTTAAACACATTCTTCCATGGGTTGTGTTGTTTGTTTGATTGTTTTCTTTTTAAAGTAAAGCTAGCTTTTTCCAGCCACACCATGGATAGAGTCAGGGAAAAATGCAAGGAGTGGTATGGGATTTGCACTACATTTATGTTGTTATTGTATGCAGTGATTTCTGGCTAAATAAGCATTAAAAGGCAAATTTCTGTCTCTCTGTCTTTTAGTCTCATCCTGACTGGGTTTCAGAGGGTAAAAGGCAGCCTGGTCAGAAGTTCTCAGTGCTGTCTGTCTTGAGCATGGCACAGCTTCTCTGAGTTCTGTACATCAAAATCAGAAACAAGTGCTCCTCCCAGCTTTTCAAATTAATGTTTCACATTTTCCTGTGCATTTCCCTTTCTTCAGTACTGCACAGAGACATACTCATCTCTCGCCCTGGGTATCCCATCAGAGCTGTGTCAGCCAGACCTTAACAAACATGTTCAAGTGAGCTTCTGGGAGATTTACACTGACACCTCTTACCAGCATTTGACTGAACAGCTCCATAACTATGGAATTAGTTACAGGTCAAAGACTGAGGTTTATGAAGTTGTAAATAGCTAGGATTAGGTGTTTTCCTCTCTTTACCAGACTTTGCTTTTTATTTTCATAGCTTTGATTTGTTTTATATTATCAAAAATCACCAAAGAATTTCTAAGATTGATCTTATGACACCAAATACATTCAGCTAGAGATAACCTGGCCATGGTTAGAACTTTCTTTTCAGTATTTCTGTGTTTTGACACCTAACAAATGAAAGAACTGACTGCCATCTTAAGAATTTAGCAGAATAGAGCCTGCATTCTGCATCAGAGACCAAAGCTGGCTTTAGTAAGTTTTCTCTTAGTAGACCATGAGGCTGAAAAGATATGAGGAAGACCAACTGTTCAGGTCCACCTGACACTTCCAGATTTTTCAATTTGAAGAAAGCTGGCCTTCAGGAGAGCTATATTGATAAGTAAAAACAACAGAGAAGCAAACAGGGAATTATGTATCTATGAACTTGGCTTTTTTCAGGGTCCTGCCTGGAAGCCTGTTAGTACTCTTCCTCTGAGCAAAGAGTAGCACAGGGAATTCCAAAGTTTCCCGCAAATTCCTAGGCTAGCTGGACACAGCTCCATTGCACCCTGAGCTCAAGGTCTTTATGGTCCTAGAAAAAAACAGGGAAATAGTTGTCTAAATAAAGGAAAGCTGTGCTGAGAAGTTGTAAGGTCCTGTTTGTTAGAAAATGCATGTTTCTGATGTTTGAGGATTGCCAAAATGCAGGCAGAGATCATGATGCTATTTTGGTTTTACCAGAAAACAATGAATACAGCTGAGCCTCTGATGCTAAGCATTTTTTCGGCTCAACTTTGGATTCCTGATGAGTTTCTAACCAATAGCACAGACCTTAGTTTGCTTATTAGGCCTCATTAACTGATTGTTCAAATTGCTTCATGTAGAGCCAGGACTGCAGGGTTGGTTTGCCCAAGATACAGCTGAGACTTGTTTTTTTATATCATTATTTTCCATGTTTTCAGACATCCCAAACCATAACTAATCTTTTATTTTTCTCTAGCATTTACTATGGAAAAATTCTAGTTTTTGTCATGATGTTTCAAGTTCTGGTGACTTTCCACAACACTATAAGAAAAGATTTGATTGTATAAATACTTAATGGGTATAGATCAAAGATACAGTGGTGGGTGGGGTTTATTTTATTTTATTTAGGATCTCTTAGAGTTGCTGTCTGTGTCAAATATGATGAGTGGTATATAGGTATTAAACAGCAAAGTGGGGAGATTCAACATCATCATTTGATGTGACTCAGGTTGTGGTATAGATTACTAAAGGCCCAGATGAGAGAAGTTAATTTCTCTTTTATTGCTGTAATAGAAAGGAACACATTGGGGTTTTTTTCCCTTTGATGTTTATCTCTGGTTCCTACTTTTGGTTATTTAAAACAACTGAGGCATGAAATTAGACAAAGAAAATATCTCCAGGATAAACATGCAGGCACATATCTGTAGATGTGAGTCTCTAATGCATGTACATACACACAGACATACACATATACATATGAGCTGAGCCACCTAGCATTTGGGTGTGCTTTGACATTGAATGGCATATGATCAGTTATGAGGGAGATAATAGCTTGTCACAGTTTGGTTAGTAAGGGTGAAAATGAAAATGGGATATAAAAAAGAAGAGGTTTTGGAAAGATTTATCAATGAAATGAAATGGCTTGGTAAGGTAGCAAAGGTAATGTGTGTTGGTAGCATCAGATCTTTATTAGACTTTGACAGCAATACCATATAAAAATCTAACCTGCTATGTTAAGTTTGGAGCAGGAGAACACAGGTAGGATTTGAAGCGTTAAGTCAAGCAGATTCCAAAGGAGAACCCTAAAGGTGTGAAATTTTCAATCTTACTCTTTGTAAGAATATCTTGGAAGCTCCCATAAGGAATGCAGTAGAGGAAGAGATATAAGATAGGTTAAGAAAAAAAAAAAATTAAATCTATATCATAAAAAAGGACTGCATTGATGTATAGATAGGGGTTAACCCACTATTGACGCAATAAGTAATAACGACACAAAGATTTAAAATTTAAAATTTACAACTTGATGAGTATCTCAGGTCCAGGTCAAATTGCTGTTTCAAGTTGATATCAGCTTTTTTTAATATGAATTTAAACATGTCTGAGTGTGTCAGGTTTTCTAGTAGGAATACTCTTTTCTGACTGCACGTCTTGCTGAAAGGAAACATTTTATGCTTGGTATACATGCGGAGTCCAGTTAACAGCAGTGCACTTTGCCGTAAAGGCAATGGGAGATTTTCCTATTTGAACTACAAGAGGAATCAAGAAAGCACTGAAGTTTAAATAGATTTTAGCTGCATGGCAAATGAAATCACAGCATAACTTATCCTAATTATTTTACTTTGTTTTTTTCCACTGTGTGTTTAGCTTTCATGAGCTACCTGAGGAAATGCAATGCCAGACCAGGGCATGAATGCATTTCTCTGGATCTGTATGGTAGTGTCTTATGCACTGGAGTGTACATGCCTTAGAGAGTTCACCTCTCCAGTCTGTTCCCAGTGTTTGTAAACATGATCCTCTGAGAGCAGGAAAGCTTTTTTACACATAGGATACAATGGTGGAGGGCAGAGGGAAAAGACAGCAGCATGGTAGGATGCCATTTCCCTTTGAAGGGTCAATAACAGTGGCCTTCAACTGTTAACCAATATGCACTTCCAAGCTCTGAAAATAACATTTCTTCTCTCTTTCTGTATATGTTTCAGTATATATTGTTCCAAAAGTCTATCTACGTCATTATTCTGTTTCTTTACCTCCCTCTTCTTAGAAATGTAAAAATACCAATGCTGTTTAATGATCAGAGAGTTGTGACTCTTGAAGTCTTTGCAAAGCCTTGTCAGTATCTTAAGCAATGTTCTGCTGTCTTGCTCTGCTTTGATGTGTCCTATATAAACCAACTGCAGCAGTTAAACAAGTCTGGAGGCATTGCCTAGGTATTATTTAGGTGTGAAAAGCTGTTGCTGATCATAATTTAGGGATAAAAAAGTAAAACAGAAACCTAAAGATAAAAGACAGATATGAAAGTATAGTGAGTGCATGTACTTCATGGTATTTGACATTTCCTCACCTTTTTGTCTGAACTGTTTTCTTTATTTAGGGCAGAAATACCAGGATCATTTTCCTTTTGACCTTTGTAATTAGTCACCTTAGTCTTCCTGTATGCAAAAGGTCAAATTTTGAGGCTTTTATGTACATCGTTATGCATATAATTTTATGTAATCTCATCTTCACATAATTGTACCAACTGCAGTGGGATAGAAATAGGAAGTGGGGTTAATTGGTGGTTTCTTTGGTTTTATTTTTAATGGAGGAGGAAAGTGTACTGCCATATCTTTATACAAACTTATAAATGTTGAATTTGAATTATTACCACTTTTAGCTTTCACCTAAAGGACTAGTTGAATCTGTTTTGGCAGCTAGGATAGAAGAAAGGAAGAAGCAACAGAAGTGTACCAAAGCATTTGTTTATTTTACAAGGATTTAGGAATTTGGCTATGAATTGTGCCATCTAAGCTATAAAAGTGGAATTGAACTCATAAATTGAAGAAAATGGCAAGAGAAAATAAAATTACATCCAATGTGACTTATATCTTTCCTTGATGGAACATTTTTCAGTTTCTCTTTGTTTGGCTGGAGTTCAGGGATGCAGCTGTGCACGAGGTAGAAGAGGTCAGAGGTTTTCAGGAGAGAGGGCGGAAAACAACCTTGAAAGGAAAGTTTGTGACATCAGCTGTAGTATGCAATTTTAAATAATATTGTGAAATGAGTAATAGTGATCTTATTTCACTGAATGTGGCTTGTAGTCTTGGTCACAGAATCACAGAATGGTTGGTGTTGGAAGGGACCTAAAGACCATCTACTAGATCTCATGAGCTAGCTTCTATGTGCATTGTATGCATTGACCAAAGCCTTGGTAGCCTAATTGTGGCAAGATGATAATTTTTTTCCATTTTTCTATATTCTGGTTCACTAGGGGTTTCATTTCTATATTCTGGTTCATTTTCTATATTCTGGTTCATTATTTCATCCTGAATTAAATGATCTGAAGCATATCTTACCTTTTCAAAATTTCCTTTGATACCAAGCAAAGCAGAATGTGTTTCTGTGCTCATGCTTATTTTGTTGGTGTGGGTTTTTGTTTGGTTTGGTTGAGGTTGTTTGTTTTTTGGGCATTTTTTGTTCCTTCAGGACAGCCTTTGATTTTTCTTTTACCTCTACCTTTGGGATTTTTTTGGAGGTGAGTAGTGAGGAACTTGTGTTTCTGGGCTACAAGCTAAAAAGAAATCCTAAGTTCTTTCAAGCTGCCTTCATCAAAACTCTGCTAAGAGACTGGAGAGAGCCTGGAGAAGACAGAGACTACACAAAACCTTGTACACATTGGTCAGCTCTGGGGTCCAGTGGGATAGAGAGCAAGTTTTGGTGCTTTGAGTTCCTGTGGACTAAGAGCCGTTGTCTTCAGAGTGCTCTTATTTTTAAAATCATCCAACTGTGACCAGGTTAGGTGTGTGTGAGGTGCAAGGCCTGGCATCTCAAGGACTCTGCCCCTGCCTTCAGCTAAACTTGTAGAAGAGTCCATTTCTTATAATTCCTTTCATCAGTCTGCATTTATTAGTGCTTTCCTCTTTGCAGCTTTGAATAGGTATTTAATATCAGCTGGGCAAGTTTTCATTCTAAAAAGGAGAGAAGTTAATCCTTTAGTTCTAAATCCTTTGTCAAGTTTTTTTTTTGCTGTCTAATGGTTCTCTGTCCATAAACTGCACTTTCATTGTCTTTTTTAATATGCACATTGTTTTAAGTGGCTAAAAGTACTTGAATGTCAAATTTTAGTTGAAACAACAAAGTAATTCCTGTGCCCTAGAAGAGTTGTTAGTTGCCATGACCAATGCTATACTTTCTAAAGATTAGTGGGGGAGTGAGGTTTTGTTTATTTGTTTAGCTTTTTTTAGCCTGTAGCAGTAATGCATTTTAAAGATTGCTTTTTAAACAAAGTGTTTGTTTTGAAATTTGTTTTCAGTGGTATAAAGCTTTTGTTTAAATATTTCTGATCTGATGCTTTTATCATTGAACTGAAGTAAGCCAGGAACAGCCTTAAGGTTAGCTGAATATATCTGATCCTTCTGCATTAGCTGAAGTCCTTCCTCCCTGCCACTGGATAAATATTTGCCTTTTGTAAATGGGATAGATTCCTCTGCACTACTAAAAACCGTGCTGGCTTCTGAACCTCATTTAACTGGAAACCTCCCTATGAGTCCTTTTCTCTTAATTTAATTCCACTACTGCATTGACTCCAAATTTGCATCTGTATGTGAGGGGGACAATGAGCTTTTCCACGCCATCCTTTCTCCACTGCATACAAAAATGAACACATAACTCTGAACAGTTTCGATGAGTTCACAAGCCTGTCTGCTGTTGTGTTTGAGTATCTGACTCCAGTTAGTTTTCCTATTTTAATAAATATTCACAAGGAAATGTTCCTTTTCTACCCTTAGGAAAGATTTAGTTAGCAGGTACTATCTGTTTTGTTGGACAGAATATCTGTCCTCTGACAAGACTGAAATGACTGCCACAGCTGCTTTGTTTAAAAGAAGAGCACACATCATTCCTGCCTGTGAGCTTACCCCTATTCTCTGATCTGTATCTGAGCCCCCTCCTGGGGATACTCAAGGACTCTGAAACTGAGTTTAGTTGCTAAAAGAGTGTTGAGCATGTCCCCTATGCAATCACTTATTTTCTTTGTACAAGTTTCCCTTGACCACATTGGCTCCCCAGACTGGAGGGTCTGCCTGCCTCTGTGCACACTGATCATCTCTGCTACCAAGTCACACAGAGCCAGATCCTTCCTCTGGCTTTTCCAACCACTTGCCATGTAGTTCCTGCACTCCTGCACTTAATATTGGCAAAGGAAAAGAGCTTTCCAATCAGAGCTTCTTGAGATTTTGACCTAGAACTCAAGGACCCTTTGAGGAAGGAGTCATTGGCATGACAGAAGAATTATCATTCTGGAATCTCTAAAATTTGTTTCAGCTCCTTTATCCGTGCTGTGTAAACTCCTGTTGTTTTAGCCATGCCCTCGTAAGGTGGAATAAATTCTCAGAGAACTCTTTCAAATTTATGAGATTGACCATATCAAATGAGTATTTCACAAATGATTTTTGGTATTTTGAGACAATTGAGGAGAGGGGAAATTTTGGCATCATCGATGTGTAATCCTTCTGGGAGCTTTAAACACAGCAATAATGGGGACACTCTTGTTCATATAAGCAACAGCCGTGCTGCCAGCATTACAGGATGCATTGTACTATAAATAGACAACCATGATCCTACAGAGCTCCATGAGTTATTTCTTAAATCTGAGTGCTGTTGGACAAGCAGAAGCAGAAGTTTCCCTTCATAGGAAATAGCAGAGCTTGAGCTAGTAAGAAGGGATTATATGAATGCTCCCTGGTTCAACTCTTTCTTTTCTTTTTTCCAGTAAATGAGTAAATGTGTGAAAGTTGAGAGGTGTCTGTGTAAGGGAGGTATATATTTGTGGGCAGGACAGGGAGGTGATGAGATGACAGCTGAGATGGTTATGTCACTAAGCCACTTTAGGAATGGTTGAAAGTGTAAATGTTTGCCAGAGTATTGGAAAAGTTCCAGGCGCTGCCATTTGCCTGGTTATTCTGTAACTCCAAAAAATGCAACAAATTTTAGATTGACACTTTGCATTGCACTCAATGAGTTCATGATCTCACACTGTAAATATTCATTATTCTTATAACATGGAAACTAATTCTAAATGGAAAAAGCCATAGAGCATCCCTTCAGAATCAGAGGAAAGAAAACAAGCTTTCAGGAAAATGCAAGGAATAGAAGTGTCTTACAAACTTCATTATGATTGTATGTTTTTCTTTTTGCATGAAGCATAACCTAAGGTTGTGTACGTCATTAAATCAAGTGGAGAACTGTATCAACTGCAAATATATTTTCTGTGAGTCTGTTCATTTGGGAAGGTGAAAAGCATAGATAGGAGGGATGGGAGGCAGACAGTGTAGCTTTTCCATTATGTTTAATATAGTTTTCCTGTTTTACTTATGTGGTTTGTAGGTTGTGGAGGTTTTATGCATGACTTACACTTCCCTTCTGCCAGAATTACTGCTGAACTGAAGCCTGCTTTGACCATAGTAATGATTCTACTGAAATAATTCATGTACTGGCATCTGATAACTTAAATATTGCTATTTGCTAATAGTCCTGAACTGATTTGGTCTCTGTTATTTCTAATTCAGTGGTTCACCCTGTTCTCTTTTCCAGTTGAGCTATTGGTTACTTAGCAGGAATGTTTTATTTGGTTTAATTTAGGAAGTGTGATGTCCAGTGCCAGCTGTCCCATGCCAGCACATTGTGTACTGTCCTTTAGGCCAAAAAGACACAACTTAATGACTAATGAGTTGAACATTGCTATTGTCATAAATGCTTTCCATTAATGCCTCTGCAGGTAGGGCAGCTGCAAATGGAAAGTAAAGCTCAAGAAAAATAATGGCAGCTTTGAATCTTAAAATAATAGTAAAAAATCTAAATAGGGGAAAGGATAGATAGCTACCCTTTGCAAACACACACTTAGCAGGAAGTTTTAGGTGACTAACATAAGAGGCCCGTAAACGCCCTCTTCATCAGTCTCTTCCTTCCATTTCTAACTTCATTGCATTTCTTTTCCTGTGGATTCATGTTGTTTTCTCTTCCACCTTCTTTCTTTCCATTCCACTGCATGCCTCTTTCCCTGGTCTGACCTCAGAGAGGACGAGTACGAAGAGGAGGAAGAAGAACAGCCAGTCACTGAGCCCAATACTGAGGATGAGGGGGAGGAAGAGGCCAATAGGCAGGTCAAAGCCAGGTACCAGGATTCAGCATTGTCCCTCCACCTTTTCTTCAGGCTCTGGTGTGAACTCACCAGCACAGTGTGCAGCAGCATCCACCTTTTCACTCACATTCCTTGATCACCTGTTAAAGCCACCCCCACAGAAATATTTTTGCATTTTAAAGCTTTGGGGAAGGGGCTGGGGCGTGGCAGTGCTAATGGAAACGCTCAATTATGTAGGTTCAGTGCACTATGCACTGTCTGCATTCACTCCCTTTAGTTAATGCTCACAAATCCTAAAAGCTTTAGTGAAAAGCATAACTTTAAGCATGATTTGGTTTAACTTCTTAGTAAAGGCAATGATGAAACACCAGAATGCTTAACTGAGGATGTTGCATGGTTTCTTAGGTTTTCATCCCTATCTTCATAATACTACCTTATTAGGAATATCTGTTGCTATGCAGTAAACTGACATTTTTTGAATGCTGCCTTAGATTCCATATAAGTTTTGATCATGTTTTAATAGCAAAGAACTACTTTGTAGCAAAACTGACACACATGCGTATATAATATATATACATACATATGTATATATAAAATTTTATAAATGCCTGCCCATCTGTGTATATACAGATATAAGCAAATTACCAATCAATATGCTTCATCACCTATCAATATACTCTTGTGTAAAAATTTTCCACTTATTTCTGAGATATATATATATGCATTTGGCAACTTGATCCTAATAAACTGAAAGCAAGAAAATATATTCTTTGTTCTGGACAGCCATTTGATTTAGGCTAAATTGTTTGGCTTTGCAATTCAGCAAATGAGATTGGAATTTTTTTTTTTTTTTTACATAAACCACATTCATGCAGACACTGTACAGCACAGAGGGAAGAAAGGAAACTGTTTAGTGTGTGAATTCCAAAGAAAATACTGTACCTTTGTTATTATTATCTTCCAGTCTGCAAATCTTGCCAATGCCTGCCTGAAACTTCAAAATTAAGTGACAATTTCCTCAAATCTGATTCTTAAAAGTCAAAGCTAAGACACAAGTTACTGGTAAATCTCATGAGTATACTAAAATACTGCTTTAAAAAGTGAGGAAGAGCCTCATTAAGAAACGTGAAGAGCATAATGTGTTTTTAGGTCATTGGTCTTTTTAAGATAATTATCTCTTTAAGATAACTGGGTGATATTCCCATGACCTTCCTAAGTACCTTTTTTCACTGTCTCTGTATCATTAAAAAAATTATGGTGGCTATTTGTGTTGGATGCTGACAGGTAGGACTGGCCTGGCCTCAGTGTCTCCTGGCAAACACAGCAGGTGCGATAGATGAAGGTTTCCAGATTTTCCATTGAGAGAACAATTACCTGGTATACACCTGATGATTTAAGTGCATAAGATCCCAACATATCTAACATAAATTTTGGTTTTGTTGCCTATGCTGTGCCAAGCCCACAGTCCTCAAATAAGGACTGTGCCTTCCATGCCGGCTGGGGGATTGCAGAAGTGCTCTTGGGAGAAGGAAATCAGCCATGTCAATGATCCAGCCCAAAGCCCATGCAGTGTTTGTGCTGGAGTTCCTAGTGAAAACAGACACCCTGGAGTGCAGATCCCATGGCTTCTCAGCTGCTTTGTGCCTTCTGTCACTCACCAACCTCTGCCTTCAGTAGAGCAAAGCAGATGTGTTTTCTCTTTTCTTTGATGCAAGCTCTGCAAGTCTCTATGAAAGACCAGCATGGAATGCTGACACTCAGAGAAACCAGAAATTAGTGCCTTCATACCTAGAAAAATATTTGTTAAGGTGTTGATTTTGAAATCATTTAAACTTGATTTTTTACAGAACAGTGCTAATTGAGTACTTTTTTTATTTTCATCTTTGTTGGATAAAGAATTTTAGTAAAAAGATCAGATTCCCAGGGAGGATGATAGCCAGATATCAGATAGTCCAGATATCTATATAAGATATCTGGACTTGGAGAAGCAGTCCTGCAGACTGTATCTTGAACCATCTGTACTCCATGGAGTCTTTTCCAGTGTGCTCAGTCTGCTTTGTACTGCTCTGACAGTGTTTACAATCTAACTTAAATATATGAAGATTGTTCCAAAAATAGGTGTGAAAAGGCTCATGAAAATTAGTTCTGAAGCCTATCGGTTAAATCCCCTCTTTTCTTTTAGAATGAGTTGCTTCTTTTTCCCAGTATTTCTAACCACAAGAAGAATCCCACTGGGATACAAAGATGTGAGTTCTCTTTATTTAAAAAGATGTAATGACTGTCTAAATTTTGGAAGTTTTTGTTTGTCTGACTCTTCTTCATTTTTTTTCCCTGCAAGTGATACTATCTGTGATCTCCCTTCACCCCATTGTTCTCTCCGCTTCTCTTTCTAATGATTTTTTCCTCCTGCAGTGAGGTTCCAGATGTGCATGAGGCTGTGAAGGAAAGCTTTTCACAGTGCTCTGACTCTTCAGCTGTCTCCAGTGCCATTTCTCCACCTGAGAGGCCTCTCACCTGCTCTAGAGCAAAGAGCTTTTCTAGCAACTCCTCTTCCGTGCCTGACTCATCTGTCTCTCATCATAATTCTGTCCTTTCATCACCATCTTCACCTGCAACAGCATTGCTGAGCTCTCCACAAAATTCCTCAGCATCTATTACTCCAAAGGCATCTCCAACAGTGGAGAAATTGCCTTATGTACCACACACTCCTTTTCACCTCTTCTCGTATGACTTTGAAGACTCTCCAGCATCTGTGAAAGAGAAGGAAGCAGAAATGATGAGGGAAAACAGGTAGATTTTCTATAGCTAACAATAATTTTTAGATAAATGAATAAAACCTTTCAAGAATTTTACAGGGCTAATAATGCTACTCTATGTTGTTGTATTATTTCCAGAACATACTATTACTAATTTTAGCCCTGTAAGCCTGTATTTGATTTGATATTTTCCCCTTGCCTTTGCTGACATCATTACTCTTCTTCCAGGTCTGTAGTTGATAAATATCCTGGCCTCCTCTATAAAGCAGTGGGTAAATAACCCATGGTTTGGGAGATCCAAGAAAGGAGCACCATTTTGCTCTCATTTACAACAGTGTAATTTGCAGACATGTTTTCATGAAAATTAATGGGGCTCTTCTGCTATAAAATCAAGAGAGGTCAGATCAGCACTTGAAATTCAGGGGTGAAGTCCTGGCTTCAAAGGCTGAACTGCCAAATCCTAAATTTGTTGTTTGATTACAGTGCATGTCCATCTCATGTGCAATTTCAGCTCATGCTTGTATATAATAGAATAAGAGATCTATAAAGATAACATAGCACTCAGAGTAGACAATTTTATCTCCACAACATCTGTTGAATTTACTTGTTCCCCATGCATTTATCTTAGTTTTTAACTTTAATTTCCCCATCCCACCCCTCTAAAATAAAACAAAAAAATTGTTTTGTCTCATCTGTTTTCAAGTAAAAGAAATTGACAGTAAGTAGCACTAAAGACAATGACAGAGAATCACCTTGAAGAGGTTGATGATTTTTTGCTGTCTCTTACAGTTGTCAGCGTTGTTTGAATTAGGTGCTGAAAATGTACATTTATATTGCATGCGTCTTTATTTCTTCCTCTCTCCAGCAGTCCTTCTGAGTTTCTGCATGTGAACAAATGTTTTGATTCTTTGATCCTTTTAATTTTTGATCTTTCTCTCCTAATAGGTGGGTGTGTTTTGTCCCTTTTCCATTTTTCTGAAAATTCTGTAAATCCAAGTAGTTGTTGACAAGTGACTTAGTTCACATATTTTTCCTTTACCTGCAACTTGAACACTGGAGTTCCTCTAAATTTACATTTTCTTTCATAGGTGCATTTTTCCCTTAGACCTCTCACACTCATTTATTCGTCTCCCATTGCTGTTATACTTTAGAGAGTAGATTCCTAAATACCTCCTGTTCCTGAAATATTTAGTATTTCTGCAGTGATTTTTTTTCCTCTGACCATCTTTTCTGCTTTCATTTAGTACAGAGGTTCAGGAGTGGGGGTTGGGATGGAGATTCTTCCAGGTTTATCTGGAGGAAAAAGAGGGCAAAGCCTGCACAATTTATTCAATAATATGCCCATAAAAGAGGAAAATGTCTTGAGGGTGAATGCTGCTGGATAAGACTATTGCATCCACACTGGTACATGAGACAAGAAGGGAAAATGGAAGCAATAGCCAGTACCAGAGGAAGGTTAGAAAGATAAACCTTGAGTACAGCATACAGACTTAACCTGGTATTCTGGTCTTGCCTTGCTCCTACTGCAGCAACTCAATGTTCCTCTAAATTTGGTAGGATGTTGTGTCCAGACCAGTCCCTCTGAATTTGATTTTTTTTAATCGTTGTCTGTCTGACTCCATAGGAGGTGCATTCCCTCCATTTTCATGAGTGTTATCTTTGGAATAATTGAAAACCCTTGGTCTGAAAAAGCACTCTGCTCTATGTCAGCTTTTTCATGGGACAGAGGAGAAGAAAAGCACATGTAGTGGTTGATAAGAAGGTCTCCTTGCAGTTGATCAAAATGGAAATGGAGGTTTCTGTGTCAGGAACATACCAAATCAGCTCTGAGTTCTTATCAGGACAGTGGAGTTTACTCATCTGTAACTCAGCACAGGCACAGTCAGAACATTTCCTGGGCTAAGCCTGTCGGAGAGAAGACCCAAGCTAGGTCTGTGCTACTAGGGAAGCTCCACACTGTCCAGTTACACAGTCTCCAGTGGACCACTGTCTCCAGTTCCTAGTTAGTTTTCTTCTAGGACAAGAAGACCTGGATAGCAATTATTTCCTGCAAAATTCCTTTTGTGGCTCAGAAACTTGCATGTTAGAGTTTTTTCCAAAATTAGTTCCCTGTTGTTTGTCAGTATAGTGTCTCAAAAACAGATGAGGAATGGGGGGTGTTTTCTAAAGCATTAACCTGAAATTGCTGTTCCAGAGGACATGTTCTCTAAAGCACAATCCCTTCCATTGTAAAAGCACCTAGCTGAAATCTACTCTGATTTTAACGTGGGCCTTGGCAGGCAGCAATGCTGTTGAACTCTAAGAAAAAACTTGAAACTTTGAATGAAATTTTGCATGGCTAGATGAGTGTGCTTAATGGAGCCGAAGGAAACCAACCAGGCTTTTCAAATAAAATTGCTGAGTGAAATTACTGAGTGCTGATGTGTGCGAGGGAAGAAGCAGCAGAGAAAAGATATGGTGAAAGACGATATATTATATCTTGTGAAGTATTATAAGGAAAATTATGTTGCTCTATTTCCTGAAATGAATTTTGCAATTTGGATGAGTTGACCTTTCTGAGTACTGATCTTCAGAGAACCATATGCTTTCCATGTGGGAAAACGGCGTTGTCTGTGAACAGTATTAAAGAGAGAAATATTAATATTTTCCCAAATTAAGAATCTTTTCTTGACATGCTGTTTAAGTACAATGGTTAAAAGGCACAGCGAAGCAACACAACTGCCTTTTCTATTCAGTACAGGAGCCAGGATGAATACATTGATAGAAAGGACTCTGGGGAGGTGGCCATTCCAGGAGTCCTGGAAACAATTTCTCTTTGATCAGCAAGCTCACATTGAAGCGAAGCAAGTTTATGGGGTTTTTTAATGGAGAGAAGGACTGATAGAAATTTCTAAAGCCGTGCTTCCGGAGACATGTCTTTTTAACCATGGTGATGATTTTTTACAGGCATTGTAAGAAATGGCACATAAGCTATTACTTATGTTGGGGGAGGGGAAAGAAAATACTGCTGGCTTTAATTGAAAAGAATGTGGTTGTTTTTCCATTTAAAATGCAAGCATTTGCGAGTCATGGATGCCCATGTTCAGATCACGTCTCAGGAGTGCTGCTATTTTCCTTGATTTTAGTAGATATGGATATCTACTAAAATCTTGGACTGGTTTGACCCCTTTTCTAATGGTTGGATATCACTCCCAAAACAGCTAATAATTCTGAGTAACTGAGCAGTATGCAAGTTCCTGTTCTGATTGTCACTTGGGAGGACCATTCAAATCTCTCGTTATTTTCCTTGCCAATAGCTCACTGATTCATCATGTATGTTCATGCCGTGGTTGATATTAAGAGTACATGATTGGTTGCATATTTGGAAATAGAGCAACATTTTCAGAAGGTGACTGTTTAAAAATTCTGGGGTATGGAGTCATTACCACCCTGTAAACAAGAGGATTTACTGTTGCATGCCCGTTTGCTGATCTCCCTTTCTCCTTCTTTTCTTCCCATTTCATCAGATACAATAGCTATGGCAGCAGCTCTTACTCTTCCCCACGACCTTATGCTGGTGTGAGTGCCCCTACAACACCCACTACTCGTTATGGGACAACTCTGTCACCGCCTCAGGAGACCAAATCTGACAGGTTTGTAAATTAATCAGTGTTTTGACAACAGTTCCTTTGCAGACAGAATGAAGGAGATAAATGTAAGCTGTTCTGAATGAGTACTGGAAATAACTTCTAGCCAGTTTTTTTCTAACATTGGGGAAAAAATGGAAAAAAAATCTAAATATGTTCATTTCCCACTCGTTCTCAAGCCTTTCTGTCTGACTTGGTGTTAAAGGTTGGGTGCATTTCCATCCCACTTCTGTTTCTTCTACTTAAATGGATAAAGCAGAGTTGCTTCGCACATAAGCTGTTTTAAGTATTAAAAGGTGAATTAAAATTTTCTCTCTTTCCATTTTTAAAAATAAATTCAGATAGATCTATTTTCACTTCTATCCTTTTAAATCAACTGCAAAATCTTGGAAATGTGCTTGGTTCAGAATTTCCTAGGCCATAATTTTGTCCTTTCTTCAAAATACGTGATATATCTCATTGTGTTTCATCAAAAGCAAAACATTTATTACTGTAGCTAAAGCAAACTCCTAATAACCAAACAGTTATCAGCTTGCTTTAAGAAAAAAATTTAAAGGGGAAAAAACCCAAACCAGCAAAAAAAAAATGTTTCGAACAATCAAAATACTCTTTTGAATTATGTAAGGTACTATAGGAAGGAAAAAGATAGGAAAATGTTATGGATACTTGAAAGAAATTCTTGGCAAGAGGTTTGGACCACCAGAAATTAACAATCTGTTACAACCTGAGAGTAAATGACAGCTTCAAAGGATATCAAGCTGATTTTAAGAAGGAAAGGTAAAAGTTTTTGATTAATTTCATTCAATAATATGATACAATAATGTAAATAATATCCAATTAGGCCAGATGAGGTTTGGATTGTTTGTTTCCAAATTGGCCTGTAATTCATAAAAAGTGCATCTTCCATCCTGTTTTCTGAACTTAAGGTTTTTTACAGGACTCTTGTTCTGTATTCCAGTTAATTTTTGCTAACGATTCTTTGGCATATTTCTGTATATGCATGTGTGTTTGTGTATCTGTGTATGTTTGAACCTTCCTAATGCCTCACATCCTTTCCAGACTGCTACTCAGAATGGTTCAAGTTAGGTTCTTCCATCATACATGTATTTGTAGCCATGAGGTATTGATTTAATCCTTTTTTTCAAGTGAGTAATTAGATTAAGTTTCTCTTTGGAGAAAGGCATTGTTTTTCATTTGCTCATCTTCCTGGAGTACCTTGCCTTGATTTGTCTTTCCTGATCTCAATTAAATTATTGCCGAGTGCAACCACAATAAAAACCTCTACACCAGCATATTCACCCCCGTTTACCTCAGCAAAACTGATGCAAGATAAGCAAGAGTTAAAAGTATCCCACTGCTTTGGAAGTTTAAGATTTTCAAGCTCCTGCTCTTGTAAGCTTCTGATTGCTGCTGTGGCAAAGAAACCCCAAAGTGGGCAAACGCTGAGATGGCTAAAGATGGTTGGGCTTGTCCTGCAAGAGGCTGATGGTGCTGGCCCTGCTCCAGTGAGGAAAGCCAGCTTTCATTTCGGCATCTGCGTAAGTGCCTTGCTGGTTTGGAGCCAAAATGCCTTGGCCCCACAGGATGAAGCTGTAAAATTTGCAGATTCATGGAGAGTCAAGCCAGAGGGGAGCTCTGCAATCACCTGTTGTGACCTATAATGGGTCTCACAGAAGCTAAATGAAAGACCCCTGTACTCTCATGTGTTTTCAAGTGGCAGCACATGATTTCTCCTGAAAATATTCCAGTATTTCTTATCACTGCTAGGAAAATATTTTATATTTTGAAGCCAGTTTTTCTAGCAGCATCTTCCAGCCAACGCACGTCATCTTTCTTTTTTCTCTGAAACTCTAAAGCGCTCTACCTTCAACCACCAGCTGTCTCTTACATGTTGTAAGCGACTGAACACAGTGCACAGCATCACAACTCTGTCTCTCCTTCAGGCTATGTTTGCTGCTTTCCACCTCACATGATAAAAATCTCTGTATTCCTGTTTAAATTTGCAGCTTGCTGTTCATGGTAGTTCATGAACTCACAAAGGTTCCTGCATTTTTATATTTGAATGATGTTACAGCCTGATGCTTCCTGTATATGAGTCTCTATGAAGCGTGAAAAATGTGTATACACCACAGCTGCGTGTTGTCTGCAGAATAGATGCAGTTATTTCTTTAAAGATAATTAAGTTTACAGTTTCAGATGCCATTTTACATTCTCTTGTTCTTTTTGAGAGTGCTGCCACTGCAGATGTATACTTCTGCAAGCTCTAAAGTACTGACTACTTTGAAGAAGGGCAGAAGCCTTCCTTAATTTCATTGTCCTGAAAGATATGCACTGAAGAAGTGCCCATGTAGAGACTGACGGATGGAATTTGCTTATTGGAGAGTAAGCCATGTAGTGCATGACGCAATGCTTGGCACTAATCAGGAAATGGAAAGTATTGTGGAGGTTTTCACAGTTTTCTATGAATGGTGTTTGCCTCAGATTATGTAAACACTATTTCCTACCTCCTGATGGTAAAAATTTACATGGATTCAAACACCCAAAAAAAGTTAAAAGATGTGAGTGGGGGGGAGAGGAAGACATTTGATAAGAAGCAGATGCGCACTATGGTTAGCTCTAAGGTGTGTTTTCTGGTTTCAGCTTATGCTTCAGTTATGCAAAGCCTTCACAGAAAGATTCCTGTCTTTTATCATGCCGGGAAGAGCTTCAGATGCAGGTCCTGCTACCGTTTATCTGACCTTCGAGAATGAGGAGGAAGGAAGAAGCAGCATTTAGATCAATGCCCAGCACAGTGATTCATGCTCCATTCAGTTGCCCTGACGGGCTTTTCAAACCCTTGGTTGCATTGCTTATGTAAACAAGAGCTACAACTTAGGTGGAAAGAAGCAGTGTGGTTGACATTTTGACATTCATACTTTTAAAACCCTCTTTGTTTGAAATCAGTAGGGAATCGTAAGAGCAGTATAAGTCAGTGCAAAAGTAGCTGGATTTTGTTCTTTGAAATCCACATCATCTATATATTTCTGATTGTACAGCAGAAGAAAAGGCTTACTTTACTGTTTCTAAATACAGTTGCAGCCTTTTGGCAACTTCTTGCCATGCTGTTGTTGTCTCTCATTTCGCTGGGTCCCCCGTGGAGAGCCATGTTTGTGAAGTGCATATTGCAGCCCTGGGAATCCTGCTGAAGGAGGGCAAATTGCAGGGCAGTTTCTGTTCAGCCCTTCATTGGGAGAGAAGAAGGAGTAGGTCAGTTCTCTTGTATCTCTCTGCTTGTGAAAGTTGCTCCTAATGCATAAGAAGTATAACCCAGTCTGCCTGTTTTCTAGTGCCAAAGAGTGCTTTCCTCCATAAATACGCTGCTCCCACTCTTCACAACTTAAATCACAATTAACTCTTTCTCCCCAGTTAATAAAACAATTTAAAAATCACTCTCATAACCTCATAAATTTTAGTAACAAAGGGGACGAGCAGTGCATGACTGAGACACATAAGGGAGGAAAAACATTTTTCTGTCCCTCCAAGTTGGCCCCTTGCTTGAGGGCAGAAGGTGTTGTAGGACTAGTCTGCATTTCCATGCCTTATGGTCACATCTAGGATATTTCTGTCTAGCCAGACTCCTTTGTCAGACTCGGAATCTAAGACAGTCACTCCAATTGGAACTGCAGCCTGGAGTCTGCCACAGGACATCAAACTTGTTACTTGCAAAGCTTCACACTCCCTCATAGTGTCCTTTTGGTGGTGAAGTGTTTGCACTGTTGATCATGGCTATCCTTCAAGGAGATCATGAAGGAGTGTAACTTCTAAGGCAAGAGCTCCTAAATTCAGCACCAGCTTTAATTCATTCCACCACCAGAAAAATATCCTGCTGGTGTGTTTTACAGGGTGGGTTTCTTCTGATGCATTTGCCAGGAGGTGTTCCTCCTGGGCTGGACAGTCAAACAGTAGTACAGTCAGCGTAGCTCAGAAAGCCTTCTCGGGGCACTCCTGCCAAAGGAGCAGGAGTTCATGGTCTCACCTCTATCTGTTAAATCAAATGCCAGAAAGTTCAGCTCGCAAACCTCCACTTCTTGAGGCTCTTGGCCAGTCTCTGTGAACTTAGTCTCCATCTCTGGCTGGTCCCTCAGAAGTTCTTCCAAATCTCCAAGCCTGGTAAAGGCCTGCTATGGTATATGCAGCTTATTCCTGTTTGAAGCATCTCCAGCTTTTCCAGAGTGTTAGAAAATAGGCTTAAGAAATACTAAATATATTTCACATTCTTTAATATGTTTTCCATCTTACTTGCTTTGTGATCTACAGCAGTACATTACCTTGGGCTCCCATGATGCAGGGCCTTGAATATTGAATGTTCATTTCCATGTTCTTCTATATGTTTTAAAGGAAATGTACCTTCAAACATTTATTTCTAAAACAGGTCACAGGCAGTGAGATTAGCATGCCTAGATTATAGGTGTTTTTTTTCTCCTCTGACACTTAGACACCATACCTGAAGCATAAGCATAAAGTGCACCAAAAGTCTGCAGATACTCTTCTTTTGAGTTTTATTCCCTTTTCAGGTGCCTGAATTAGTGATTTGCTGGAAATCTGGTGCTTTCTTTCAAATTTCTTTCTTTAAGGCAAATCAAAACAAACAAACAAAAAAAAACCTTGAGAATGTCAAACAGTTTTCAGTTGGATTTTCTACTAAAATTAAAGGTTTCAGTAATTGACAACACCAGGGAGATGCTGCTGGCTGAAGCTTCTTGGCAGGTTCCTTTCTTTTTTTCTTTTTGTTAGCCATTTATCACTAATTTGTGCTCTGCAGTTCCCTTCCTCCAGCTGTTAAGCACGAAGGTAAAACAAAAGCCTATGAAACAGAACCTGCTATACAGCCTGCAAAGCTGCTGCTCTCCCAAGAACTGCTCCTCTTTCCTTGGCTTTCTGTCCTTTCTGTGTGTATTTCTGGGCTCTCAGACCAGAGATTTTTCCTTGTGGTAGCTGCCAAGCACATCTCACTCTGAGTAACATAA